CTCGCTTTGCCGGGGGCTCGTTTGCTTGGCCATAGCTCGCCACGATGGGCGTCGTCACGTATCGGTGCGGCGTGGCGTGCTGGCAACGCCAAACACAAAGACCCCCCCCCCCCCCAAATCGCCCCCCCAAACCCTCGAGATAACCATAGCATACTTTATGGGGCAAGTGCTGTTCGCGAGTAGTACCTATGAAGGCCGGCAAGGCACACGAATGGGGAGAGGGGGGGGGGTGTGCCAGCGCCACGCCCGGCCGCCTTTGTCTTCCCAGTCGCGATGTTTTACACATCGCACCAGGCACTCATTTGAGGCTGAGTCGACCGAGGGGAGGCCCAGGAGCGGTTCAGGTGATCGCGACACGGGTGTTGGGTGGCCGTGTACGGGAATCGAACTTCGGGCCGCCGGCTTCATAGCGCAATGGGCTAACCACTGCACCACCACTGCCACTACGCACAGTGCACACGCGTGTACACAACGCACACGCGTGTACACGCACGTGTACACACGTGCACACAGTGCACACACGTGCACACGCGTGTACACACGTGCACACGCGTGTACACAACGCACACGCGTGTACACAACGCACACGCGTGTACACGCGTGTACACAACGCACACGCGTGTACACAACGCACACACGTGTACAAACGTGTACACAGTGCACACACGTGTACAGTGTACACAGCGCACACACAGTGTACACAGCGCACACACGTGTACACAGCGCACACACGTGTACACAGCGCACACACGTGTACACACGTGTACACAGTGCACACACGAGTACACAGTGCACACACGTGTACAAACGTGTACACAGTGCACACGCGTGTACACAGTGCACACGCGTGTACACAACGTACACGCGTGTACACAACGCACACGCGTGTACACAACGCACACGCGTGTACACAACGCACACGCGTGTACACAACGCACACGCGTGTACACAATGCACACACATGCACAGCCTTCAATAAATCAACCACTCCAGCTAACGAAAGAACCCTGTTGGCTTTACACGGCGTAATGTACACACAAAATAACCCTGCCCTACACAAACCTTTAATAAGTGTCGATTTGTGTGTGTTTGAGTCCATATGTGTGTACGCGTAGGTCGATGTGTGTGTGGGTCGATGTCTGTGTGTATCTAAGTCAATGTGTGTCTCTTTTTCGCCGGGTACTATCCGCTAGTAACTGAATAAAACCTTCAGCAAATAGAACCCTCACCAAATATAACTGACTACATAAAACTAAAAAGGGTAACATCATTGTAAAATTTCGATGTAAAGCTTTCGTGACTGCAGGGATTCATCTTCTTGGTTCTTTCGGTAAAGTCTGACAGACATGTTCTTCACCTGAGGACGGCTGCTTGCGTTGTGGCCGAAACGTCGTGAGAATTATTTAATGTTTTATTTTTATTATTTTATTATTTCCATTCTACGTGACTTTACCGAAAGAACCAAGAAGATCATTGTAAAAGGCACGTGTCCTGCACAGACGTTTTAATACTAAACACAAAATACTCAACCGGCTGAGAATCAATGATGTCCATTCATAATGTGTATATCATTATCATCGCCGTGGTGGTTCAATGTTGCATTCGACAAGCGGAATGTCAATTAATCCTGAACCGCAGCATATGTAGTACAGCATAGGTCCCACTTGCTGCGCTGTTATATTCTAAACGAACACGACGTACAGCAGCACAGAGACACCTGGATGTTATAGACAACGTGAATATCCACACCACCACCACCACCACGCCCGCAAGCTGATGTATAACGTCACGTACAACATTGAAATATCGGCGCTCACGACTACGCCACAATGAGCACGTTTAAACATCGGCCACACGCCACTCCTCCCAACACAAACTGCCAGCGCTTGCTATCCATTTTTTTTATTAAAGTGGGCGTTAAAACAACAACACGTTAACACATACATAATGACGTTTTTTTCCGTCATCCCCTTTTAACCCCCCCCCCCCGCACTCCCCATCCTCCTCCTCCTCCCATTCAATTGTGGCAGCGGGGACGTCAAGGTGTGCCGTGACAGACGCTGACAAGCCAGATGCTTTGTAATTAAAAGGCAATTGCTGATCGGGTTTCAGTCGCTCCACCAACACCTGCCACCGCACCTCGCCCAACGCAACACCCCGCCCGGACAGCACCCACGTGGGCACGCATCGGCGTCGCCAGGGTCCCACGTGCTCCAATTCTGTCCCTTGTCCGCACCTTTCCTCGCCCCTGTCTCTTTCTCTCTCTCTCTGCCGGGCTTCCCGGCTGCATCACGATGCAGCGACGATTCATCAATTGACATTTACTTTTGTAAACAAAATATAAACATAATGTGGATGTACAGGATCCTTCCCACCCCCCCCCCCCCCGTCAATTGTCATCGTACTATCGGCGTCGCATCACGAGACGCTAAGCAAGTGCCCGGGCCTTCGTCTTAAGAGGGGTGGGTGCGCGGAAGCGGACCTCACAGAGCTACATCTGAGATCCCTTCAAGTGACCTCTGTTCCACACAGGAGCGGGCAGCTCTCTCCCACGTGCTCTAGCATTAATAGCAACGTTCGTCACACGACAAAGCAACTCATGTGTTTGGCCTTAATGCTGGGATGTATATGAATTAAGTGCAAAACACAATTTAATGCGATGCGGTTCTTTTTTTTTCCTTCCTCCAAATAGTCATTTGTAGCCGTGCTGAGATCACCGATCCCGAAACTTGAGTGTGTGGTTATATTCACAGGAGGCTTTGACTTGGTCTCAAACCCAGGTGGCCAGCGGTGCCGACTCAGCACTCTGACCTCCTGAGCCACCAGGTCACCTGAGTGTCCGTTCTGAGGGCGAACGATAGATGCGTGGAACAACGCGTGCGGGCCAATCGGTGTCTTTGAGCTTTGTCCGAACGGCATGAAAATTGCATGCAAATAGCATGGTGATATCACACACAGAAGGTTGATGGAGTAAACGCATCAAAGAATCGGACATTACTATAACAAGGCATCTGGGCAGGATGGTATGAGAATCAACAGAATGTGTATTTATACTGGAGGAATCCGATGAGCTATAAAGCTCTTTTTTGTTACAGATGTCCAGTATTGGCGAGTCCGAACGTTACAGCAACAAACAGTACAAAAAACGATATGAGAGAAAAGTATAGGAAAGGTAAACAAATCACTTAAAAAATACAAATAAACGAAATAATTCGTTTTACCTTATCAGGTAAAGGCCACTGAAGCATTCACTTATTTTTCACAAGCGACCTAATAGCTTAACAGAGTGGCTTACCACGTGGAAATGTCAAGCAGCAACATCATCCAAATAATCTTAATGCATATTCTTGATTCTTTCGGTAAAGTCACGTAGAAGGGAAATAATAAAATAATAAATATATTAAACAATATAATTATTTTATTGTTGAATATTTTAAAAGAATTGTATTGTTATATATTTTTATTATTGTATTATTTCCCTTCGACGTGACTTTACCGAAAGAACCAAGAATATGAATCCCTGCAGTCACGAAAGCTTTAAATCAAAATGTATATATATAATACTCTTTTTAAGGCCATAGTGTTATTCACGAATGTTTTAGTTTTTTTATTGTTAATTGTGCACCAATGTGAACGCAGCAGCATCGCCAAAGAATTCATATACAGTATATACAGTGTATATACAGTATACATGTTAAACACTATCAGTATATAAAGTATACAGTGGAAACATTTAACACGCAGGCTTTCGCGACCAATATCATCCATAAGAGGTTTTTTTGGGGGGGGTTAGATCGCGTAAATATATAAATGTGTCGTTAAACCCGCCACCACCCGACACAGCCAACTAGTGAGGGTTGTCACGTAAACAGAACGTGACCAATTCGTCACTAGTACAGCACTAGAGTATAGTAGTGAAGTGTATAGTATAGTAGTGTAGTGTATAGTAGTGTAGTGTATAGTGTAGTGTATAGTAGTGTAGTGTATAGTGTAGTGTACTAGTACAGCACTAACCCGTTGTGTGTTGGGAGAGCCAAGCCACAACATTTACAATCCAAGTACGACGTTTCGCCAGAAATTACAATAAGCTTCATCAAACCTCTTCCTACAAATAATCCAGTCGAACTGCGCAAGTCCCGGGCACTCATTAACGAGTTACCAATACATACAAATAATGACATCTAATTGTACCGTGAACCAACGCGCGCTGCGTGCCCGCTTCTGCGGCCGTCTGGAACGCTCTTCTTTCCGATATCAGGAAGCCAATCGAGCTATGCACTTCTACATCGTCTTCATTGAAAACTAATTTCTTTAGAACAGTTTTTTGTGTTTAGTTTGTTGTCCTCCCCCCCCCCCATGCACATCCGATTAGCACGGTTGGCTAGGTACAGTGCGAAAGAAGTTCAACAACCTTACAAAAATCCCCCGTGTAGCCTTAACCAGACTGTTGGGGCAAGTGCTGTTAGCGAGTAGCACCTATGAAGGCCGGAACGGCAGACGAGGGGGTGAGTGGCCAGCACCACGCCCGGCCGCATTTGTCTCCCCAGTGGCGATGTTTACACACCGCGCTAGGTACTCATTTGAGTCTGAGTCGACCCAAGAGAGGCCCACCACCACCGGTTTAGACAATCGTCACTGGTGTTGGCCGTGAGCGGGTTCGTAGTGCGCAGCGTAGCGCTGACCGCTGCACTGCCGCTCACGTACACGTGAGCGCGAACGTGAGAATCGAATCATCGCTTCAGGGCTGAAATCCTCGACACCCCACGCCTCTCCCGAGCGCACCCTCCTGCTCCTCCTGCTCGGCCCTTGCAGTCCCACGCCATTCTCTTGCCTGCGCTGGGCTGCCTCGCAGCAACAGTCGGAATGTGTGACAGCGATTGAGATTTGCTTCGGGATCACGAAGGGGCGATTGTGGGGAGGGACGGGAAGGAGTGGAGGGACGAGGGAAGAGGACGTTTGTAAGAGCACGTCACGAGTGCGGCCCGGTGAGAAGAAGACGCAGGGACTTGGAGGCTTGGGCCAGGTGAAGACTAATCCATCATGGACCAGGCGATGACATTCGTGAATCCCGGCAGGCAGTTCGCCAAGGATTCCATCCGGCTCGTGAAACGCTGCACAAAGCCCGACCGCAAGGAGTTTCAGAAGATCGCAATAGCGACGGCAATTGGCTTTGCCATAATGGGCTTCATCGGTTTCTTCTTCGTGAAACTCATCCATATTCCCATCAACGACATCATTGTTGGCAGTTAAGATCAACTGGAGTTCTACTTTGAAAGAAATGCTGTCACTTCTCGAGTTAATACCATAATGTTGCAAAATGTGTCCAATGTTTACCAGCAGTTTTTGACATTCAGTTTTGTCTTGACTTATGAATAAAGCCCATGTGAGTGATACAAAAAGGAAGGGAGATACAACAGGGTACGCAACACACAAACCGGGCAACACACACGCGCAGGGCTCAATTGCAGCCGGATCTGCAAAATATTTACGGACTCGAGACACCACATCCAGTAGACCTCTCGCCGCTATCGCTGTGTGCGCTGTATCGGGCACACCGATACAGCGCACACAGCCACTCGTAAGATCTTGAGTGAGAAAGTAATGCAGATAACCCACCACCACCACCACCCCTCGAACGACACCAACTCAGCCTGCGTCGGAGACTTGCACGCGACGTGCAAACCGTTGAGTCCAGGGGCCGGCAATCAGCACAACAAGAAGAGCCATTTTTTTGGTCGAATTCGGATTTTTTTTTGTTTCTCCCAGAGCCACCACGCACGCAGAATACGAGACGGTCGACCTGAACAGCTAAATGTGTATCGCCACGAGGCAGGCCCTTCAAGAGAGCCGCGTGCGGCTCAGAATCCGCAGGTTGCCGACGCCTGGTTTAGGCGGAGCGAATGAAAGACGACGATTCATCGATGATTGTTGATGTTGAACTTCGTTCGCGCCGTACGTAGCCAAACCGCGCTATTTGGAGTGTGCGGGGGAAGGACAACAAAGCGAACACAAAAAACAGTTTTAAAGAAATTAGTTTTCAATCTAGATTAAGAAAATGTTTCTGCTGTTATTGTTCGATATCTTTGTTTTAATTGAAAGGGTAGTGCCCTCCCTCCATCCCTCCTTCCATCCCTCCCCTCCCCTCCCTCCCTCGCTCCCTCCCTCCCTCCCCTCCATCCCTCCCTTCCTCCCTCCCCTCCCTCCCTCCCTCTCCTCCTCTTCCACCACCTCCACCATAATTCTCTCGGCTCATTCTGTGCGATTAAACGTCCGTGCAATCTGATCTCCTGCCAGGGCCCTGCGTCAACACGGTACTGAACCATGAATACAGTTGGTCGTCTGAAGTTGTATCTGAAAAAAAAAATCGATATGATGCATATGTGCGTGTATTATATATACAATATAAACATGTACATTCAGCTGTGTCTGCAAAATACACAAAAGGTATTGTATACGAATGCCGGCCTTACGAGTTCAATTTCGGACGAATATCTGAACTGTTCCTGGGCACCCCGTAGACCTACTTGACTTTAAACTGGTGTGGAGTGTAATCATCGGCACTGGGGAGACAAACACGGCCGGCCGAACGTACCAGACCTTAATAGGTGCTCTCTAACTGCACTTGCCCCAACAGCCTGTGTAGGTTACAGAGGGATTTTTGTCTTTGCTTGCAGTGAGTGGTGAGTTGTCGCGGTTTGTGTGAACGTGAGGCTTTGTTGACTTGAGTGACATTTAAAGAGCCGTTGCGTGTGGTGTCGTTGTCTGTGTGCATTGAGTGGGGAGCGGTAGTGCAGTGGTGAGCGTGCTGCGTTACCAACCCCGCGACCCAAGAGAGAGAGGTAGGAGAGTGCGTGGAGGGGAGTAGAGTAAGTGGAAGGGAGTAGAGTGAGATGAGAGGGGGGAGGTAGGAGAGTGCGTTGAGGGGAGTAGAGTGAGATGAGAGGGGAGAGGTATGAGAGTGCATGGAGGGGAGTAGAGTAAGTGGAGGGGAGTAGAGTGAGATGAGAGGTAGGAGAGTGCGTGGAGGGGAGTAGAGTGAGATGAGAGGCAGGAGAGTGCGTGGAGGGGAGTAGAGTGAGATGAGAGGTAGGAGAGTGCGTGAAGGGGAGTAGAGTGAGATGAGAGGTAGGAGAGTGTGTGGAGGGGAGTAGAGTGAGATGAGAGGGGAGAGGCAGGAGAGTGCGTGGAGGGGAGTAGAGTGAGATGAGAGGGGAGAGGCAGGAGAGTGCGTGGAGGGGAGTAGAGTGAGATGAAAGGTAGGAGAGTGCGTGGAGGGGAGTAGAGTGAGATGAGAGGGGAGAGGTAGGAGAGTGCATGGAGGGGAGTAGAGTAAGTGGAGGGGAGTAGAGTGAGATGAGAGGTAGGAGAGTGCGTGGAGGGGAGTAGAGTGAGATGAGAGGCAGGAGAGTGCGTGGAGGGGAGTAGAGTGAGATGAGAGGTAGGAGAGTGCGTGGAGGGGAGTAGAGTGAGATGAGAGGTAGGAGAGTGTGTGGAGGGGAGTAGAGTGAGATGAGAGGGGAGAGGCAGGAGAGTGCGTGGAGGGGAGTAGAGTGAGATGAGAGTGGAGAGGTGGGAGAGTGCGTGGAGAGGAGTAGAGTGAGATGAGAGGGGAGAGGTAGGAGAGTGCGTGGAGGGGAGTAGAGTGAGATGAGAGTGGAGAGGTGGGAGAGTGCGTGGAGGGGAGTAGAGTGAGATGAGAGGGGAGAGGCAGGAGAGTGCGTGGAGGGGAGTAGAGTGAGATGAAAGGTAGGAGAGTGCGTGGAGGGGAGTAGAGTGAGATGAGAGGGGAGAGGTAGGAGAGTGCATGGAGGGGAGGGGAGTAGAGTGAGATGAGAGGGGAGAGGTAGGCAGGAGCGAGACCGTGGAGGATCTTGGAGACGGTGTGATCTTGGAATTGATCAATTCATCATCGTGCTTGTTATTATTATGATTATTGGACGGCAGCTGCACATGAATGTGGTCAAAATAAACAGGCGGCCGTTTCACCTGCGATCAAACCAAGCACAGGTGCCTCTCTATTTGCCGAATGAAAGCGCTCTCTGCCAACATCAACAGCGTAAACATCAGCCCGGCAGATGAACACATGAGCTCATCTCTAGTCCAGCAACTCATTTGACAAGTTATTCCAGTCGGCGTTATTAATTTATTTTGTTTAACTTAAGAGATATCGGGATAGATGGTTCGACTGCTGTGGAGCAAAAATTACCTTGATTGGCAGTGTGAGTGGGAGAGTGTCGCCCCATTAAGTGTATTGTATGGATACCAGAGGTCACTTGAATAAGAAGGAGGGGGAGGAGCAGAATGAGCAGGAGGGGGGAGATTTGGGGCAGGAGGGGGGGGGGGAGGAGGAGGAGGGGGGGATGGGAGGAGGAGGCAGAGGGAGGGAGGAGGAGGGGGGAGGAGGAGGGGGAGAGGAGGAGGGGGAGGGAGGGAGGAGAAGGGAGGAGGAGGAGGGGGGAGGAGGAGGGGGGTGGGAAGGGGGGAGGAGGAGGGAGGAGGAGGGGGGAGAAGAAGGAATCTCAGGGGTAGTTCCGTGATATCCACTTCCGCGGCCCATTCTCTAACACGGAGGAGGATTGCTCCACCGCTCTGCGAGAGATCTGAATGCATAAAATAAATAAATAAAATGCTTCAAGTCTATAAGAACAAATTGCATACGTATATAAACATCTGCTTTTACTTATTCGCTGCAATGTGTTTGGTAGATATCAATACTTCCTACCGATGTATGCAGGCAAAAATTTAAATGAAGACAAAGATCTCCCCACCCCGCGTGTAGCCTTTACGGACTGTTGGGGCAAGCGCTGCGAGCGAGTAGCACCTGTGAAGGCCGGCACGGCACACGAGAGGGGCGGGGTGGGGTGGGGTGGCCAGCACCAACCACACCGGTCAGCGTGCGCGCCGAAGCTGGACCTACTGTGCGTTCAACTTCTTTCGCACCGTACGTAGCCAACCGTGCCGATCCAACGCGCCGAGCTCGAAGCGAAGCGACGGAATCAGCTGGCAGATGGATCCTGAACGTCGTAGAATCACGACAGTCGGTGGCGGCTTAGTGGGGGGGGCGGTGGTGGGGGGGGGGGGGTCGGCGTTGATCCAGCAGTGGATTGACCAAACTAAAAAAAAAGTGGGGGGGAGGGGGGGGCTGTAGCGTGGCGTCACAAACCCCGCACGGCTGCGACAACCGGCGCGTTCCGTGCATAGAACATCGAAGCCCCCCCCCCCTCCACGCCCGCCCGCCCGTCCGTCACGAGAGGAGAATTCATCGCGGGTCGTCGACCCGACGCTGCGCTCGTAACGCGACACTTGCTTGCGCTGGGGTTTTTTTTTCGTGGTTTCTATTCTCTTTACGTTCTGGTTTTTTTTCTGTAACCGGCCCCCCCTCCTCCTTCCTCCCTCCCCCCAGTTGCACAACCACGCGGCCACGCGGCCAAGCGGCCACGCGGCCCCGCAGGGCGCACAGGGCGCGCGCGGTTTCGCCCTACGCCCGTTTGTGGGTCACAGCCGCTCGCTCAGCGCGGCCGTGGAGTCCGGAGAGCGACGCCGCCGCCGCTGCCGCTTGCTTCGCTCGCTGCCCGCTGCTGGAACTAAATAAATAAGTCGCGATTAAAGAGAGGGGGGGGGGCAGGGGGGCCAGGGGGGAGGCAAGATGACCACCGCACAGCCGCTGGCACGGCTGCTGTCGATGCCAATCAGAACCACGTCGACACAAGCGGCGTGATGGAGAAGCCGCGTGCTGTCGGTGGCGCCGCGATGCGTGCAGGGTGGCCCGAGTGAGATCGCCACACAGGGTCAGCGCATTCATTTGAACGCGTCTCGAAGCGTTGGTTTCGTTGCATTATAGCGCAACGTTCGAAACGACTTTCCACGAAGATGATGGAAAAATTATTATAATAATAATACGGGATGTGTTAAGATGTTCAAACAACGAGTAGACACAGATTGCAAGCCATCAATCCTAAATTAACCACACATCATGCTTGTGGTAGCACGTGCAAACACACAGAGCTCAGGTGAGGTTCACGGGGCTTTCTAGCTCTTTTTCAGAAGCGGCTTGTCCACAAATTACATCTCAACGAAGCGGCTTATCACGTGGAGATTTATAGCAGCCAAATGTGGAGGAAAAACCCGGAGGACCCGGAGAAAAATCCACGCGACCACGGGGAGAGAGAGAGAGACACCGCAAACTCCAAATATACAGCAGGAGGCGTTATGGTCGGGATCGAACGCACGACCTCCTGTAGACCAGGCGAGGTAGTTAACATCTCCTAGCCACCGTGATGATGATGAGAGAGAGAGAGACGCAAACTCCAAATA